CGCAGTTGCATGCCTCTCCTCAGGTCGGGGATCCAGCGTCACGATTGGGGGTGGAAGCCTCCAGCGTGCGCCGTTGGCCAAATGCAATACCCCAAATGCCTCAGGGCAGCGACTCTCCAACTCATCCACGCGTTTCGACCGGTAGCCGACCAAACGGGCGCGCACATCATCGCCGTTCGCCGAGCTGTGGCGCATCAGACTTCCCAGTGCACGTTTAGCAATCAGTCCGGCCGGCTAATCCCCGGCCCGACGAGCCGTGGATTAGGGCCGCCATGGTCGGCCGTGTATTCGGCACAAACCGATTGCGCCAGCTGAGCATGTGCACCTGTGAGTCCGGCGCTCAGCGGCGTCTGCGTCACAGGACCGTGCTGAACACGGAGGAGGCCCTGCGGGACGTGCTGACCCAGGAGGTGATGGCGCTGGAGCCGCGCGCCTTCCGGGAGCTCGAGGTCGACATCGACAGCATCGACTTCAGCCGTGAGTGAGCCGACCGTCTGTCCCGGCGGCCGGCGCCTCCGTTCTGTGCACCGAGGTGTGGGCGGGCCTGCCGGGCTTGCTGGTGCCCTTTTGCCATGCGGTGCATGACACAAGTGATGGCATTGATGCACCGCATGCCAAAAGTGTGAAAGTGACGCGGGAACTGGCTCGGACACTGATATTGCGGAATCCATTGGGATGATTTTGACAGGTCTGAACTGGGGGCGTTCTTCAACGTAAATTATGCATCCAAGGCATAAATAATGAGATAGTAATTATTAATCTCAGCGCTCTACTCTGATGATGTGGTGGAGATAACTCGAGAGGGGAATTCCGGTTCGGTAAGAAACAGGGACCACATGGTATTTTTACTTCTGAAATGGGTTGTTTGGTTGTGATATATCTACTGCTACAGCAACTAAGTGACACTTCGCAGCTTCAATGCACTTCCTTGTAATCATTTCAATTGATTCCATATTTCGGTTCTCGAACCATATCAACTTAAAACTGGTCCTCAAGCATCACCTTAACTAACCTTTATCGCTGAATATTTCCTGCACTTGGCGGACAATCTGATACGACTGGCACGTCTAGCCATCTGCGCAGTCGAGTAACTGTTCCGGGCGCCGCGTGCAACGGTGCAGACGGCGGCTGTTAAGCGCGACCCTGTCGGTCGGCCGACGGAGCACATCTGGCACCTGCACTCTAACGGAGCGCCACCCGGCAGGTCAGAGGCAGGCCGCCCGCTCGCCACCGCCCGACGCCGCCGGCGGGGCGCGGCCCGGGCGCCCCGGGCAGCCGGCACCGGCGGCCGAGCGGCCCGTCGCCGGAGAACGCCGCCCGGTGCCGGCGACCGGCGCCCGACCTGCAAACGCGCCGAGAGCCGGCCGCACCGAGGCGAGGACTGGATCCGACCGGCGGGCGGCGGCCGGCCGGTGTCGGCTCCGACGCCGTCCTCGGGGCGCTGGCCGGCGCCGGCCGCGGCCTGGCCGGCAGAGCTCGGACTGCCCGTCACCGAGTACCGGCCGTCGGTCGGCGAGGCGCCGCTGCCAGCCGCGGCCACCGCCTCTGGCCGTCGTCCAGAGTCGGCCTCGATCGCCGCCGTTCCCGCCCTACAGGCGACGCCAAGCAGTGCAGAGTCGATCCTAGGTGGCGCCGGCCTCGGGCGGCGACCTGAGACGGCTCCGGGGCTGGCCAGGCCCGAGCTGCCCGTCGGAGTCGGCGTCGACCGCCTGGGGCAGCTGGACGACACGCCGGCCGGCGATCCTCGGCCGCAGCCCGGCCGGCCTCGGACCGACGGCACCTCCGACCCCGAACAGGACCGACGCCCACCAACGCTGCCAGCGCGCGCTGACGTCGCGGGTGGCCCTGCCTCCAGACCGGCGGACGGCGCGACGGGCGCCGAGCCGGCCGTACCTCGGCCGACGGCCCCTCCCCCGCCGACCCGAGCCCGTCCTCACCAGGCCAGGCCGGCGCCACCGCAGTACGACCTCAGTCCCTGGCGGCCGGTCGTACCGACGTTCCTTCGGCCCCTGGGGGAACAGCTTGGTTCAGTTTGGTCCGGTCCCGTTTCCCAGGAGGACCAGTTTGGTCCACTTCGGTCCAGGCCTGAATCCCAGGTTGACCGGTCTGGCCCAGCCCAGTACAGGCTTGAACCGCAGGGTAGCCAGTCTGGTTCAGTCGAGGCCAGCCCTGGACCCCTGGGTGACCAGTCTGGTCCAATTCAGTCCAGCCCTGGACCCCAAGATGGCCAGTCTGGTACAGTCCAGTCCGGTTCTGAGTTCCACAGAAACCAGTCTGTCTCAGCGCATTCCGGACCCGAACCACAGGGGAGCAAAACTGGTCCAGTCCAATCCAGTCCTGAACTCCAGACTGGTCAGCCTGGCCCGGCCTGGTTCAGTCCAGAGACTCAAAGCACAGAATCCGACTCTGTCCAACCCGGACCCGGAACCCAGATTGCCCAGGCCAGCTCAGTCGGTAGCAGGCCTGGGCTCCCGGGCGTCCGGTCCGATGGGGATTACTCCAAGCCTCAGCGGGAAGTGGGTTCAGAAGCTGACCATTCGGAGCATGAAGCGCAGACGCCAGACCTGACAGCTGATTTGAGAGCAGGTGGTGCAGTGACTCATCCGCCCGGCGCTGGCACGTCTTTGTTGGCGTCAGTCGACTATGAAAGTGAAGAGCAGCCAATGGCAGCTGCAGAAAATCAACACAGACCTCACAAGATTACAGATGAGGAGACAACTCCCGAGAAATTGAAAACAACTGATGGACCAACCGCCCACGAATCGCAGGTTGTTCAGGGTCCGCCAACCTCCACGACAACCAAAGCCCCAAAACCGACTGCTTCGGTGACAGACAGTCCTGCTTCGAGCACGCACAGCTCTGCAGACCTATTACGGTCGCCGACCTCTTCACTTCAGTCCCTGGCGGATCTGCAGTCCGTCCCCATTCCAGACAGCCTCTCCGTGCGCAAAACACTGACCATTCTGTCAAGAGAGGAGCCGGACGACAGCCTTTTCGTCACGCACCCATCGGGCATCATCAGTCGATCGCCGCCGGCGTCGCCTGACCTTGACCCCGAGACCTCCACGCGGCGGTCGTCCACCGCGCGGCCGCCCGCCGCCACCACTCCGGAACAGGTCTTTTATCGCGCCAAGTCCCCGACCGCGCCGGTCAGTGAGGTCACGTCCGGGGTCAGCGAGCAGAGCCGCGACGCCGAGCGGGAGGAGGAGCGCGGGTCCAACGCGACCGAGTCCGCCGCCGGCGGCGTCCTGATCAGGCCACCGCAGCAGCGCGTCGTGTACTCGGGTTCGCAGGGACCGTTTCTGAGCCGTGTGGGCGGTGACCTGGGCGTCACCAGGATGGGCGCGGCGCCGGATGGTTCCGGTTTCACCCGCTGGACGGTGGCGCCCCAGTTCTCGACCCAGGCTGCCCAGCGCGTGGTGGTGGTGGGGGAGGGCGGGGCGGCGTCGGCCGTGACCGCCGCCCCCGCCCCCGCCGCCGCCTGGGAAGAGGAGGCGGCGCGCGTGACGCGGCCCTTCCTGCAGCCGGTGACGTCCTACTCGGGCGTGTACCGGCCGGGCAGGCCCAAACCGCCCTCGCAGCCCAGTGCGGACCCGGCGCGGCCGACGGCCGGCCCTGGGGTGGACTCGGCCACGGGCCGGACCCCGCTGAGCGGTCTGGGCGGCGCTGACCACGGCCCGCTGCACAACAACACCGAGATCTTCACTGAGAAGTCGTCCGTGGCGAGCATCTTTGACATGTTCGCCACCCAGAAGCCATTGCTGTTGAACACTGACGTGGTGACGTCGACCAGTGTGCGCGAGGAGGCTGCGGCGGCGGTCACCCGGTCGCCGCCGGCCGGCTTGCTGCGCAGACCCCTGCAGGGTGGGAGGCGCCGGCCCCCCGTCGGACGAAGCCAGAGGCAAGAGCGCCTGGCTGGTGGTGTCACAGAGGAAGCAGATCGCACCGATGCGGACTCGGCTGTTGTCGACACGAGATCTGCCAGTTCATCTACCCCTGCGCAGAACGGGTCACGACCACACCAGCGCCAGGAGAGGAGCCTGCCGTGGAGACACCTGGCCAGCGCGTACATGGGTCGGCGCCGTCTCCCGAGCGTGGCGCCGCCGGCCGGGCCGGGCAGCCGGCAAGTGCGCGAGTGGCGGGTGCGCGCGTCTGCCGCGCAGGTGCCCGGCAGCCTGGCGGCGCGCCTGCGTCTGCCTCTGACGCCCACCGAGCGGCCGCGGCGCGACCCTCGCGCTCCGCCCAGCCGTCGGTCGCCGCGCCGTCGCGAGAAGCTGGCCGACAAGCTGCACCGCTTCCGCGGTGGCCGCGGCATGGCGCCGGCCGGCTCGCGCGGTCCGGCGCTTCTGCGCGCGCCGACGCGCCGTCCGCGGCGGCGCTGGCGCAGCCAGGGCGGCGACGGCAGGCCCACACGGCTGCCGGACAGTTCCAACATCCGGGTCATCCGGTACGACGAGGGCGAAAGCGTGGCCGACATCCTGGACCGCATCTTCGAGAAGTTCCGGCAGCAGGCGACAGCCAGCAACGAAGTGAGCCTGCCGGGCAGCGAGAAGCCAGAGGACGAGCAGACGCCCGGTGGACAGGAGTCGTCCCCGGAGGAGGAGGTCGACATGATGGAGCAGCCGATGGCAACCAAGCTCTTCGGCGGGCTGATGCTCACCACCAGCCACCCGGCCACGACCGAGAGAGCGCCGACGACCCATCGACCCCAGCTGAGGTGGGAGCCCGTGACGTTTACCCTGCCCCAGCTCGCCGACCGGCCAATGGTCTCTGCCCGGCCCCAAATGGCTACGAGTCGTCCTAAGTTCACCGCTAGTCGGCCCCTGCCGACGACAGCACGGCCCTGGCCGACGACGGCGCGACCGCGACCGACGACGGCGCGGCCCCGGCCGACGACGGCGCGACCTCGGCCGACGAAAGCGCGACCTCGGCCGACGAAAGCGCGACCCCGGCCGACAACGGCCCGTCCCCAGCCCACGACGGCCCGTCCCCAGTTGTTCGCCGGCAGACCGCAGATGACAGAGGAGGCGGAGAATGATGTGGGCACGGTGGGCGGTGCCGCCAGCGTCAACCCGACCACCTCCACGCTGGCGTCTCTCCTCAGGAACTACACATATATCGGTGAGCAGTGGTCTTCTGCTCCTGATAACCGCCGCAAGTATACGCATGTCATCAGGTTACCGTCGAACAGACGTTGAAGCTGTTTGAATAGTTTGTGTTGTTGAGCGCTTGTAGAAGTGAGGTGCATAATCTACAATGCATTTCATATCTCTTCTTTTCGTAGCATTTTCATTGCATGTGTGCCCAGTTGGCATTCATGACGAATTGGTATGTTTTCAACGATGATCGATTACATTTCGTGCTTCTGCTTTCCGTGCACGTTATCAAGCGTGCTCGCCGTGTCTGTTTGCTCGTGTCGGGGACTGCCAAATACCGAACCTATTGCCCTACTGGCTTCGATTCCAGCGCGCGCCCAGCACGCGATGCCGGTGAATGAGACTGTGTCTGACCGACCCCCTCACCCCAGACAGACAGACCCTCTGACCCTCATACTGACCCTCTCACTCCAGACAGCCAGCTGTCGCCGCCGTCCTGCCCGGACGCCGCCGACTTCCAGTGTCTGGACTCAGGCGAGTGCGTGCCCTCGCTCGCGCGCTGCAACATGCTGCTGGAGTGCTCGGACGGCAGCGACGAGGATGAGTGCTCCTGCGCTGACCGGCTGCGCGCCCAGTTCCTCGAGAGGAAGGTTTGCGACGGCATCGTCGATTGCCACGACAGCTCGGACGAACAGTTCTGCGGTGAGTGCTGCGGCAGCGGACTGGCGGTGCTGCGGCGGCGGGGTGGCGAGCGGGGGTGGCCGCAGCTCGTCGTCGAGTGTACGACTTTTTCTGCTTTGGAACGATTAAATTGTTTTGGAACATGACGTCAAAAGATCCACAGCGTAGATGCATTTTATATCCATCCTGCAAATGCTTGACGCATGACGATATTTAAAAAAAAAAACGAACGAGCATAAAACGTTTAAGCCCAAAAGACCTTGTTGGCTGTTCGGCAGATATCAGTGGTGTTGTGACGTTGTTCAGTGGTAAATTGACCTCATTCGAAACGGTGGCATCTCTCCTTTACCCGCCGTCCTTACCACCACCTGCCCCTCCCTCCCCAGACTGGTGCGGACCGGGCAAGTTCATCTGCCCGGGCGCCAAGAAGTGCGTCGACACCAGCGCCATCTGCGACGGCCAGCTTGACTGCGCCGACGGCGCCGACGAGCGCCAGTGCGTGACGCTGTCCACTGCCAGGAGCGCTGCCGGCCAGGCACGCTACCAGCCGGCCGGTTACCTGATGGTGCGGCAGCGGGGCCACTGGGGGCCGCTCTGCGTCGACGACTTCGACGCGCTGGTGCGGCGGACTCGTACCGCCTGGAGTGTCCGCGAGCTGGGCAGCGCCGTCTGCACCGCCCTCACGTACAGGTGAGGGGTGGTGAGGTGGCGGCGGGGCCGAGGCGAGAGGTCCAGCTGGGGATGGCAGGGGAGATACGCGTCCAGGGGGAGGTGGAGTCTCCGCCTCCGCTCGGGCCCAGCGGCCTCGCAGCCGGCGTAAAATCACTTGAGTGATGGCTGGACGTATCGTGGGCAATTAGGCTCATCTGCTTCTCCTGGCAGTTGTTCTGAGTTGTTTGGAGTAAAACCCAATGACGGACTTCCAAACAGCATTCGAAAGTCTCAGAGATCCGTACATAAAACCGTCAAGGGCACTACTGCGGTTTGGACTCGGTTTGGACGCAAGTTTGCGTCTGCGTGCAATGATTGTGTGAGCCGGGCAGAACCAGGACATTACTTATCAAAGCAAGGGGGAAGGAAATGTCTACGACGGGCCTGACTACTGGCCTGTTTGTGCAAGAAAGTGGGTCAATGCCGGGTATGCCTAGGCATGTGATTGATATGCCTGACAAAATGTAGAAGACGATGCGAAAAGTGTCCATGCATTTTTGGCGACATCGGCGGACATGGGAAATGAGTTTATAAACTTTGTCTTTTCGCGAAGTGGAGCTGCTTTTGGCTATCATTAAGGCACACGTTGCAATAACAGGGCGTGAGGTGCTTTCTTAAACAATAAGCTGCCGCTCGTTGGCTTATCACCTGCGCAAAAATGAAAGGGCCTTAAAAACGCCCGAGGTCGTCCAGCGGACCAGTTTTGGCTCGTGGCTTGTCGCGAGCTGGCCGTGTCGCAATCGTCTGACGGAGTCGTACTTTCGTGTCCAGGGATGCCACGCACGTGTTCCGCACCGAGTCGGAGCCCTCCGTCGAGCAGGACCAGCCGGAGCCCTTCTACAAGCTCGTGCTCTCCCCAGACGGGCCACGCAGCGACACAGAAAAGTAAGACATCGCAAGACGTGTGCACGACTATACACGCCAAGCCCACGAGACGTGAACAGTGTCTGAGTCGCGTCCAAATGTGCACTTATCTTTCTTGGGTAACAGCTGTTCAGTCGACATGCGTCAGATACATGTGATGTTTACGTGCATTGAAGGTCCACACCTTCGTTTTTCTTCTCGAATTCAGACCTTTGGATGTGGCTGATAGAATGCTCAGAGTCAACTCACGAAGCGATATCGCGCATCAGTCGTGCGTGTAAGGCTAACGCGGCAAACTTCCTGCAGTTGCACCTTGTAACCTGAAAAATGCAACCGCACTTTGTCATGATTATAAATCTCATTCGCCCAGCAATGACGTTCGCTGTGTTCGTGCATCTGATCGATATTCATGGATCCGTTATGTCCTTATGCGACAATCAAGTTGAGTGCGATGGCTGCACGCCCTGCATTAGGTCCGGGTACCACATCAATGCATCTATCTCCACATCGCAGGAGTCCAGATCTCTTTTTGTCGCAAAAAGTTGGGCACACACAAAAGACCCAATGTTGCTTTAACTGACGTAAGTTTAAAGGGACCGTCCTTCCCACCAGGGTGAGAGGCAAGCGACGTAATATAGCCTCAGCAGCTGAGTGCGCCGTAAAGCCCCAATAACGACAACAACAACATAAGTTGAAAGAGAATGTTCCACATTGGAGGATTTTAAAGCAAGCATCAGATACAGACATAATGAAATAAGCTCACTAGCATAACTATTGGTGTACTTTTAAGTGGAAAACGGTGCTCTAAACAATGCATTTTTTAAAGTGAATATGCTCTTCAGTATGCCATTGTTTGCTTACGTCGTCGCAGCTTGCACAGCATTGATTGAGAGCCAGTTGACGGCCGTTATATCTGGAAATTGTGCTCACAAGCGCGAGATATGAACCACTCGTCAATTATCTTTGTTGTGACCTTGATCGCCGCGTGGCCAATGGAATGGCGGGATCTGCATGCCGACATAATGACGTCACGGATGCCTGGGTGATCCTGAAATAGTCTCCCGGAAATAGCCCGCACATCTTCGCGGGCAGTATTCAACTCACAAACCGGAGCAGTTTGGGTCTTAAAAAGGACAGGGCTGTGAACTGCACTAAATGATCTTCAAGATTGCTTCTTCAGTTTAAAACCCTATACAAATGTGGAACATTCCCTTGAAGTGTGACCACTAGCGCACCAATGATAAGGGCTTTCGGCCTGAAGCGGTTACTGCATTTGCATTTGTTAGATGCACGGTTTAAACGGCACTCATACAGTCACAGATGCATGAAACCCTTTCAGCGCTCAGTTTAAGAGATGTGCTGACGTTGTTCAGCACCACGATTCGGGTAGAGGTAGTTTCTGGGGTTTGAACATGTGCGAGTGAAACCAAAAAAGTTTCCGAATAATTGTAGCTTTTCAGGGGCCTTAGGCCAAAAGCTTGTTTTTTTGCTTGCTTGCATCATTTTGCGGAACCAAAATACAAGCACTGGTATGCTAACGAGATGGGCATCAGCTTTTGTCTTAGTTTAATGCCAACCGTGCTGGAGGATTTCAAACTTTTTTGAATGTTGACTTGGTGTGTTCTCACAACTGCGAGTGACCAGCGCTCGGTGAGTGATGCGCTCAGCTCGCTGACGCCGCCCGCTCTCCAGCAGCACCAGCCTGGTGTTCGAGGAGGCCAGCTGCCCGCGCCGCACGGCGGTGCACATCTCGTGCGGGGACCTGCAGTGCGGCCTGCGGCCTCGCGCCCAGCAGCAGCGCGCCAGGTCAGCGGCCTCGGACGGCGGTCGGTGCGGCCGGCAGGCCCGCCGCCCGCCATGAAGTGGTCCCCCGCGGGGCATGGCCTGTGTACCGGCTCCACGCTGGATGCTCTGGATCATGTGTAGTCACCGGGGGTATGGGCTGACCGAACTGCCCGGCCTCTGGACCATTCTGTGTACCGGCTCCGGGTCGGCTGCTCTGGATCATGTGTGGTCCCCGGGGGTGTGGGCTGACCGCGGCTGATCATGTGCTCTTGTAAGCGTCAACTGAGTGCACCCGTCACCTCGATCGGCAGCCATGTCGCTGAGAGCAGGATGATCGACTGCTTCCTCGCCCCGCCCCCACACACGTTGAGCTCTTATGTTGACATGTGACCACACGGCGCTTGGTTCGTGAACGCTTCGGACAAACCTAGTCCTGCCTTAATGCCCAGGATCCAGCCAAATTATGGTTTTTGATACCCGCCCATTTTGTGGTAACACAATCTTCCCGTTATCTGTCTTTTCATCAACTAAGTAGAGGATTCTTTCTTCTAAACATGGCTGCAATCCAGTCATGAATGTTTCGTCAAGAGGCAGACCGCAATCCTTAGTGGTGCATTTTTTACCATTATGTTCCAACCGTTGCCAGACAGGGTTCAGCGGATACATTGATACAGTGCGATATGACTTCGTGATTTATGTTTTGGCACATTCAGCTGCATGACACGATACGTCATGCGATTTTCATACATGGCGCAAATAGCTGCACTTATGCATGCATTTTCTGTTCTGGTAGCTAACATGCTAACTCTAGGAGTGACTTCACAGCTTCTCAGCACCTATTTCACGCGCCGTGATGCCTCTATGGTTAGCATGGGTCTTAAAGTACCGGCTTTTTGTACTTACGGGTTTCATAAAAGTTTCCTTATTAGTGGCCAGGTAATGAACTCACCGGCATTAAATGGCCGGCCTTTCCCAAGCTTAAACTAGCGTCCGAAAACGATGTACACAGATAAAACTTTCATCAATAAAGAACGGTTGCTGTCCGGGTTTGATTTGAAAAAAGTATGTCAATAATAATAAATAATGAAAAATAAACTAGTCTTCCAATCAGCCCACTGTCAAATCTTCACTTTAGAAGTGTTTTACACAGCAGTATGCTACCAACGCTAGAAAGGATTGGGGCGTGGAATTTGCGATCCTTCAACCCATTCTCATCCCATTCTGCACACCCGATCTGGTCAAGTTTGGTGCCATGAACAACTTCCCACAGTATGATCACAGTTACTTTTACTTTATCAATGAGTTTGGCCTTAATTCACTTCAAAGCCTTTAGAGACGAGCATTTTTTTAACAACCAAGTGCGGTCTTAACTGATGTACCGCCGTGATTGTCCGGTCCAGCCACTCCTATTCCAGGGATTGTCACACCATCCGCGGATTGATCTCTTCCGCGAAGATCCATGGCTGCCACAGATCAACTTCCACCCGCCGCTGGTCGAGCGGCAGCGGACAGTAGCGCCCACGCAGCTCGGTCCGCTCCTCCACCCGTGCCCCTTCGCGCCCCGCCGCCGCCGCTTGTCGAGCGGCAGCGGGTAGCAACGCTCGCGCGGACTCGGTCCACTCCTCCATCCGTGGCGCATCGCGCCCCACTGCCGCCGCGGCGCTAACCCCGCCGGCGTGTGGCCAGGATCGTCGGCGGCACCAACACGAGCCCGGGCGCGTGGCCGTGGCAGGCGGCCATGTACCGCGAGGGCGAGTACCAGTGCGGCGCCACGCTCATCTCCGACCGCTGGCTGCTCTCCGCCGGACACTGCTTCCTCAGGTGGGCACGCTCGGCGCCGGCCAGCGGAGCCCGCCTCGGGCGGCGGGGCCTCGCAGGCGACCGGCGCCCCCTCGCGGCGGGGTAGAGGCTCGGGGGAGCCCGCCTCGGGCGGAGGGGCCTCACCGACGACCGGCACCTCCTGGCGGCGGGGCAGAGGCTCGGGGGAACCCTCCTCGGGCGGCAGGGCCTCACAGGCGACCGGCGCCCCCTGGTGGCGGCGTAGAGGCTCGGGGGAACCCTCCTCGGGCGGCAGGGCCTCACAGGCGACCGGCACCTCCTGGCGGCGGGGCAGAGGCTCGGGGGAGCCCGCCTCGGGCGGCAGGGCCTCACAGGCGACCGGCGCCCCCTGGTGGCGGCGTAGAGGCCCGCAGCGGTGGTGCGGTCGGCGGGAGATAGGGTGATAAGGAACTGGCATGTCGTCGTCCGGCTCGTGGCTTAACCATACAACACCGGTTTACGGTCACGGGCAAACCGTGATGCGGCCCCACTGTTGCTACGTGCTTCATTGACGTCGACCTGTCTGATAGGCCTGACGCTTCGGCGCTGTCTGAGGCGTCAAATACAAGCGAAATGACACCGGAGCAGCCTCACATCAACCGCCACGTGTAGCCCCGGAGTAACGCATGCAAGAGTGCTTGGCAGGTGCCCCATGTTGACCTTGGCTGTTGTGACCTCAGGTCGACCAACAGTCACTGGGTGGCGCGACTGGGGGCGTACCGGCGTGGCAGTACGCTGCTCTCGCCGTACGAGTCGCTCCACATCGTCTCCCACATCGTCGTACACCCCGAGTACCAGGACATCGGCTACGTCAACGACATCGCGCTGCTGAAGCTGGAGGACACCGCCAGGTCAGGGGATGTTCCGACTCGCTCACGTAGGAGCTATCGGGTGCCGTAACCCGTGCAGTCCTGAAAGACCGAGCAAAATGGCTGATAATGTTGTCAGTTACTGGTGTTGCCTTTCCGGGGGCCTTTTGTAAAGCATGTTGAAATGATTTCCACCCACGCAGTTGACCGTACCGAGCTGCGGGCAGCCCGCTTTCTCTATGGGTGCACACTTTACGCCATCACTGCTAACTGCAGGCGGTTGTGAGGTCTGGGGGTTCTGAACTCAACTGAGCCGCGGCACCACCTGCTTCCAGGATGAGCGACTTCGTGCGCCCCGTCTGCCTGCCGCCGGCCGGTGCTGACGTCACCGAGGGCGCGCTCTGCTCCGTCATCGGCTGGGGACAGCTGTTCGAGGCCGGCAGAATTTTCCGTGAGCGTCCCCCGCGTCCCGCAGCCCGCATTCCTCGCCTCGCGGTCGCGTCGACGGTCGGTGCGCGCGTACGACGGAATAGCCCGGCGCCGCGACGCTGCAGCGCATGCGCGCTGGCGTCGTGCCTGCATCAGCGCATGCGATGAAGTTCGAAAGCGGAGGACAGCTCAGCTCAGGAAACAGTATCCGGGTTAGACCGGGGCACACTCTGCATGATTATTTATCGTGACAAGACTCAATTGACCAGGCCGAGTCTGGCAGCGATCGGGCCTACCGAATAAGCTTATTAAATGCATTTTTCCTAGCGTAAGGAGAAAATACTCGTGTCGAGGCAGCAGTCTGATTTTTAGTCCTGATTCTAAAGGCATGATCTTCAGCGTTCGTCAGAACTCGCCTCGATCTAGGGCTTGTTCGGGCCAACAGTTCACGAAAGTACTGCAAGGTACAGACAATAATTTTTGATAGAAATAAATATACCATTTGAATCGCGTGTGTTCGCTGTCACGTTCAATAATGATTTTATTCGAAAACGCTTTTCATGTAGGTAGGGTGTCTACAAGCACAACTACAACAAGCATACAACTTTTACAAAAATACATATACATGTTGAATCGCGTGTGTTTGCCGTAACGTTCATTAATGAGTTTATTCGAAAAAGATTTGCATGAGGGTAGAGTGTCTACGAACACAACTCAGCGTTATTGGTATGTTCCCCACTGGTCAGACGCGGGCATCGAATTAGTTCCAAGTCATTCCACCACGAGGCGTCCTTTGCAGCGGACACCCTGCAGGAGGTGGAGCTGCCTCTGATCTCAACGCAGCAATGTAAGAAGCGCACCGCGTTCCTGCCGCTGTACCGCATCACCGACAACATGTTCTGCGCCGGGTTCGACCGAGGCGGCCGGGACGCCTGCCTGGGAGACAGTGGCGGCCCACTCATGTGTCAGGTGGGTGTTTCCTGTCTGGGAGACAGCGGCGGGCTACTTATATGTCGGGTGTCTCGTGTCTGGGAGACAGCGGCGGTCCACTCATGTACCAGGTGAGTGACTCCTGTCTGGGAGACAGCGGCGGCCCACTCATGTACCAGGTGAGTGACTCCTGTCTGGGAGACAGCGGCGGCCCACTCATGTGTCAGGTCCCTCCTGTCTGGGAGACAGCGGCGGCCCACTCACGTACCAGGTGAGTGTCCCCCGTCTGGGCGACAGTGGCAGCCCGCTTATGTGTCTAGTTAGTGTCTCCTGTCTGGAAGACAGCGGGGGCTCGCTGATGTGCGAAACGAGTATATCCTATCTGGGAGACAAGTTTCCCAAAAGTAAACCATTCCAATTTTCTCTCTAAGATTTCATCCGAAATATTTGAATGGATGTATTTCTAGGAACAGAGCTCGCATTAAGCAATGCTTGTTATGTGAGCCCTAATCCCTCCCATCCGATTGCGAAATTCCAGGTCAACGGCAGAATCTGGTGGCGAGAGTTTCATGTACCGCAATGCTTGGCAGGGTCCGCCCTGTCCTCTGACGTCACCCGACCATTAGGTGGACCATGCCACCGGCCACAGGCTATATTTGTCCAAGGACAAATACCAAGCTCCTAAAGCGACTCGAACCACCCCGACATGGGTAGGCGGATCGGAAGACAGACGCTCTAACAAACTGAGCTATCGAGACGAACTTGAGCAGGCGAAAGCTTACCAGTTTCGTGGAGTAGATTGGCCGGGTCTGGCTCGGTCCATATCCTGTCAGTTTCAAGCAGTTAGATTGGCGAATTAGCGCACAAACGTCACAAAGCTATACTATTGAGCCTTTGCCTGCTGATTTTGTCACGGAAGACGAACACTTAGATGCACTGATCAGGTCCGTTTAGATGAGTTCTCGAAGGCGTCTTGCGCCTTTCGCTTGGTTTTGGTATTATCCACATTACAGCAGCCCTCGCATTTGCCACCACCTTTCTCGTGCAACGCCTTGCCGTCCTGATGTTGGGCTTGCTGTGCGGCCATGGATGCTGACGTCGGTAGAAACCCTGCTGAGAGCAGCCGCAGCCAGCTGTCTGACAGCGCGAGCGTCGCCCCGACAGGAGACCTCCGGCGAGTGGACTCTGACCGGCATCACCAGCAACGGCTACGGCTGCGCGCGCGCCGCCCGGCCCGGCGTCTACACCAAGGTGGCCAACTACGTCAGCTGGATTGAGGACGTCACGATGGGCCCGCTACCGCGCAGACGCCGCACGCACTGCAGCGGGCGCAGGTGAGCCTCGACCCCCGGCTGAACGCCGGTGTGCCCGGCAGTCGACTTCATCTGGGCGCTCTCGTCCTTGACGCGCGGTGGGCGGGGAACAGGAAGACCCCACGCGTCCCATTGCTCGCTCCGTGGTTCAGATAGTGTCCACGAGTGCCGCTCTCATGACTGTGCAGCTTCGTTCATACGAAAGTGGTTCTGTCTTCACTTCGCCAGGTTTAGCCATCTTTGACTGACCAAATACCAAGGGGTCCGGCTGCGGAGACCGCTGGCAGCGATAGACCGCGAAGATGGCCCAGTGACAGCCGGCGATCCGCCGGTGGAGTGTGGAACTGGCGGCAGGTGCTGGTCTACTGGCAGGTGCCGGCGATCTACCGGCGGAGTGTGGAGGTAACAGCAGGTGCTGGTCTATTGGCAGGTGCCCGCTGGGCCGCTGTCTGACCGACGACAACGTCTGCGATGGTGTCGTCCATTGTGCGGACGGCAGCGACGAGCAGGACTGCTTGGCCGAAGACTAAGCTCACAGGATGGTCGTCACCGGGCGGACGAGGGCCCCGGCGTCGGTGCGCTGGAGCGAGCCGCAGCCGTCACCGGGCGGAGGAGGGCCCCGGCGTCGGTGCGCTGGAGCGAGCCGCAGCCGTCACCGGGCGGAGGAGGGCCCCGGCGTCGGTGCGCTGGAGCGAGCCGCAGCCGTCACCGGGCGGAGGAGGGCCCTGGCGTCGGTGCGGTGGAGCGAGCCGCAGCCGTCACCGGGCGGAAGAGGGCCCCGGCGTCGGTGCGCTGGAGCGAGCCGCAGCCGTCACCAGGCGGAGGAGGGCCCTGGCGTCGGTGCGGTGGAGCGAGCCGCAGCCGTCACCGGGCGGAAGAGGGCCCCGGCATCGGTGCGCTGGAGCGAGCCGCAGCCGTCACCGGGCGGACGAGGGCCCCGGCGTCGGTGCGCTGGAGCGAGCCGCAGCCGTCACCAGGCGGAGGAGGGCCCCGGCGTCGGTGCGCTGGAGCGAGCCGCAGCCGTCACCAGGCGGAGGAGGGCCCCGGCGTCGGTGCGGTGGAGCGAGCCGCAGCCGTCACCGGGCGGAAGAGGGCCCTGGCGTCGGTGCGCTGGAGCGAGCCGCAGCCGTCGCCGGGCGGAAGAGGGCCCTGGCATCGGTGCGGTGGAGCGAGCCGCAGCCGTCACCAGGCGGAGGAGGATCTCCGGCACCAAATCAATGGAGCGAGTGGCAACGTGGTCCTCTCGCGACCGGCAGCGGCAACTGCCGGAGAACGCGGCACTGCCGGCGGGCTAGCATGAGGGCTGGCCCACTGCTGTCATTGGCGTTGTTTGTAAATCTTGCCTTCTGTCATACCTGCCATGACATGACATGACTACGTAGGTATCGACCCCTTGCGAGTAATGAAACATCCATTATTAGCAACAGCAACTGCTAATAGTGGTCAACTACTGGCAATTACCGATACCAGCTGTAAGAAATGTTAAAGAAATGCTGTTGCTAACGATAATTCATTGGCGGCACGAGCGGCGCTTTAGCCCGCACTCTAGCCGCATGACCTGTGAAATGCTAGCTCTGAGCTAGCATTTTTCTAGCAATTAACATTCCTCGGGATTGTGATGGAGAGGATTGGGCATATCAAGCAACCGTTTTTTTAGTTAGTTGTACAGAAAACGGCGGCACACTCCTGAATTCACATAAGTCTTTCTGTTTGTCATGAGCTTTCTCTTCAGGTGATATTAATTCTGCGAAGTTTTGGCCCTTCCACTCGCCGAGTGGGATCAGTAAGCTGACGAAATTCAGGGACGCAACATGTGCATTCGCATCCCCTGCCGACTGTCCTCACTCAGTTCGCCGCGTCCTTCCTGTTCAATGACGTGTCCTTACCGCACAATTGGTCTGCAAAGCTATCGCGTGAGCACGTGCGGCGAACGGTGGGTGCGAGTGCGCACACGTGACCCCTCCTTCCTTGGTGCGCTCGCAAAGACGCAGGTTGCCTTGTACACTAATGACAGCTATTTGGCCTCTCGAGCGCATCGACTTCACGGTCGCGCGGGTTCACCCACCTTTCACTGTCATGCCGCACACCGTTCCGTACATCCGAGTTTGCCGGCGGCTGGCTCTACCGACGGCCGTCCGGCGGGCGGGCGGGCGCGCGGTCAGCGGCACGGCTCGGAGCCCCGTCCCTGTGGCGTGCTGCCGCCCGCCGGCGCGGCGCGATCTCGCGGAGGGCGCGGTCCGACCGCGGCCGACTGAGGAGAGCTCCGGGACCTCAGCGCGGCGGCTCGGCGGCGCTGACGACGTTTGTTGTTATACTCAGAGACATTGTTATTTATGGTGGCCCTGCGTAGTTGCAGGTGCTTCAATGTACCACGCATCGTGATTGATGAACGTGCTGAATACATGGTGATAAATACGGTATTTGTAATGCAGTTTGTAGCAAAGGAGAGCTAGATTACGGTACATAAAGCAGAGCGTTTCCCAATGAAAAGCGCATGGTCTTCACCGTGCCAATGCGCCGTGTCTCCGTGCACCGCAGATGAAGGGTTGCCATTACTGTAACGTACACATGAACAGTCAAGTTGGGAATCAAGCAAGTCATCGGTTAAACAAGCGACTCTGAAATGGCGTCATCCACAGTTTGATAATGTCAACTCCAATAAGTTTATTGAGACCTGCACACACGTCAAAAACACCGGGCTGCCCTCATCGCGTCATAGCTAATAAATGTATGATACGACCATGGCGTGGCATTAAGGCAAACACGTCAACGCAATCGATGGGGAGCCCGGCATGCTGCCAATCAATTTTCCCTTTGGCTTGTTTCGGCAACGCACAAGAAAGCCACACTGACTGGCACACCGCAATCATAGCTTCTGGACGTGCTGACGGTACGGCAGCGGCACGGTCGCTGACACGGTCACCAACTGCGCCGTCCGATGAAAACCCTAGCGCCTTCCCGGACAACGCGGACAACGCCCAAACTCTGACCCGAAGTAGACACCCTGTGGCGGTGACGCCTCTCATTGGCGCCTCGCTGCGACAGGGGCGGGCGGCGCCAGCACCATTCGGACCCATTCGGACCCGGCGCCCGGAGTCGCCGCAGTCGACTCCGGGCGCCGGTCGCTCCCGGTCGACGCGGGCACCGTGCGGCCGCGTCCGACGCCGACACCAGCCGTGGGGCCGGCAGCGGCGCTTCAGCGCGCCCGGCGGCGGCCGCGCCGCCTGCCCGGCCGCACGGGCGTCACGATCGGTGACAGCGTCAGGTCGAGCAGGCTGAGTGCCGTCGGCGGCGTGAGCAAGCGGCGAGGCCCGCCGGCCGCCTGCTCACGCCGCGCCACCGGACTCACAGCCAGCGCCTCGATGTCCTCCAGCGCCAGGCCCATGTCCTGGACGCGGGTGCGCGTCACACGCTGCCGCGGCGGCGTGCGGAAGGCGAACGCTCTGGCGTCGGCCCGTGGCGGCGGCGGCCGCTCCCAAGGAGGCTGACGCCCGGCCGGCGCGGCCGTCCGTCCGGCGCCGGTCGACGGCGTCGTCTCCACCCGCTGCCGGCGGCCGGTCGGCCTCGGCGGAGAGGCCGGCTCCGGCGCGGTGGCGGCCGGGTCGGGCGCGAGAGCGGGGCTCGTCCGTCCGTCTGACCGGCGCGCGGCGGACGAGACCCGGGACTGGCCACTCAGCGCTGGCTTCCACTTACTCGCTTGCGGCTTGAGCGGAGACGCCGCCGACAGCGCCTCCTCTTGGAACACCTGGAAGACCACCTCGTCGTCCTCCGAGCACTCTGCGTAGCTCACCTCCTTCCTTCTTTTCCTCGTCGACGGCGTCGAGAAGGTCATTTCAGAGACTGTGGCATCCGCATCACCATCAGCTTGACTATAAAGCTTGTCACGGTTGTGCGGGCCACTGCCGTTCCCGCCCTTCCTCTCCGCAGTCTGCTTCTTACGGGCCGAGAAATCGTCTTCCCTCGCCCACGACAGGAAGTCATCGCTATCATATGACCCAAAGGCGTGGGCAACGCTTTCCATGTGCGCCTCTCTCCTCGCCGTTGCCGAGGCGGTCCGTACCATTTTGACCTCCAGCGGCGGGCTATCGTCCTCATCGTCCGAAAAGCATACCCTGAGGCGCTTCGCCGCCGGCGAGGCGGCCCCCATCGTGCGATCCGGCGTCCGGGGCGCGCCCAGCGGACCCCCACTGGCCTCAGCGGCGTCCCCGGCTGGACCTGCCGTCCAGCGGTCCTGAGACCGCCCAGCCCCGATCTCCAGCGGCGGGGCGTCGTCGTCCTCGTCGTCAGAAAAGCAGATCTTGAGACGCTTCGTCGCCGGCGACACAGCCCCCATCGCGCGATTCGGCGTCCGGAGTGCACCCGGCAGTTGCATGCTGACCTGGGCGACGTCCCCGGCTGGACCCGCCGCCCAGCGGTCCCGAGACCGCCCGGTCCTGACCTCCACCGGCGGGGCGTCGTCGTCGTCCTCGCTATCCGAGGTGCAGACCGTGACCAGTCTCCGCCTCGGCGTCGCTGGCGAGACGGCGGTGCCGCGCGCCGCCACCGACACGCGGCACCGACCCGGCCCCGACCCGGCTGCCATCCCAGTGGTCAGCCGCGCCGCGCCGCCATCCGGTCCCGAGGCCTGGCCGTCGTCTCCCGGCTCGCCGTCGACCACGAGCGCCGGCTCGAGCGCACGGTCCGGCGGCCGACCGGCGCCCGCCACCGGGACCGGGGCGTTCTGCTCCTCAGGAGCGCGGCCGGAGGACAGACCGCCGCCGGTCGAGCCCAGCATGTCCTCCAGCGTCTGGCGCGTCACGCGGTCGAGCCTCGCTGCCAGCTCCGGGTCGGACTCGGAGTCGGGGGAAGAGTCCCGGCTGGAACCGGAGCTAGCCGACACGCCCCGCACTTCGCGCGGCCGGCGGCGCCGTCGTTTCCCGCAGCGCTCCGCCTCGAGCTCGCGCTCGCTACTCTGGTCTGCGCCGGTGCGGTCTGTCGGGGCTCCGGGGCCGGCGTCGGCGCCAGCCTCCGCCGCGCCGTCCGCCGACGCCTCCGTGGATCTCCGGCGGCGCCGCCTCCCTGTGGGCCGCGGCGCGGTGTCGCCGTCGCAGCTGCCGGGCCCAGGGCGGCCAAGGCCCGGCTCGGGCCGGCAGCCGGCGGCGGTGGACGGCAGCGGACGGCACCCGAGCTGCCGCGTCTCGGACGACACCAGCGCCAGGTCGCCGTTCGGCTCCGGCTGAACGCCGTCATCTGAGTCCGTCCAAACTCCGCCGCCGCATTCCCCCAGCCGCTCACCCGTCAGATCCCGCCCGGCGGCCGGCGCGCCATCTGACGACGTCCGCGCACACCGCCCACCGCCGTCAGAGCGCCGTCGCCTGCTGGGAGGCCGTGAGGCTGGGGAAGCGTCCTGCGGCCGTGCGTCCCCAGGGCCATCGACCCTCCCGCTGCCGCCATCAGTCGCTGCGTCAATGCTGTGGTGAGACCCCACGGTCTCGCTGTCACCCCCGGCGGACGCAGACCGCCTGACAGCGGCGCCGGCGTTTGTTTTGCCCAATCTTCGAATGTGGAGTTTTCTTCCGCTCGAAGGCAGGATTTCCCAGCTCCCATTCGGCGTTTTGC